AAAAGATTAGGAGAACTTTTTTTATTTTTTAAGATTTTTAACTGATTTTTAGAGAGAGAGGAAGGGAGAGGGAGAGAGAGAGAAAAACATGAATGTGAGAGCAAAACATAGATCAGCTGCTTTCTGCACACCCTCTACTGGGGATCCAGCCCTCAACCCAGGCATGTGCCCCGGCCTGGAGTTAACCGGCAACCTTTTGGTGCACTGAGTGATGCTCAACCAACTGAGACACGCTGGCCAGGACAGGAGAACGCTTTTAAAAAGAGGAGATTTGGAGCTTGAAAGAGGAAGGAAATAAATTATTCTTGTGCTTTCAGCTGAAGAAATGGAGCTCAAGGTTAAGATTCTTACCCCAGCACCCACTGAGACTAGGAGGTGAAATGAAGGTTCCAGTGCAGTTCTGTCAGATTCTAGAAGCCATGCAACCTCATGGTCCCCATCACCTCCTCCATCTCTCACACACACACACACACACACACACACACACACACACACACACAGCAGTGAGGAATAGACCTAGTCCGTCCAAGTACCTAGCCCATGAAGAAATAAGATGGCAGGGGGATGACTTTTTGGGGTATGATCCATTTTATTTCTGCTAGGTCAACAAAACATGCTTCATTGCCCAGAGGAACTAAATCAGGCTGGTTAAATCCCCTGTTACTATAAATATTCTCTTGATTTATGAAAAAATAAATGAGTGTTGATTTTAGATTAGTGCAGCTACAAAATATATACATGGCATGGGTCCTTTGGTTTCAGTTTGCATTTTAGTGTGGCCTTTAGATATGAGCACCAGATAAAGCATTTGAAATAATGGCAATGGTAATAATGAGAATGAGAGAGATACAATAATGATTATTGTTTATTGAGTGCCTGACTTGTGTTTGGCATATTCATTATACTGCTTAATTTTCTCAAAAATATTATGAGGGCAGACTTCTGAATTGGGGAGTACTTTGTAAATTATGTAATTGTGTAACTATTATGCTGTAACCCTGAAACTAATATGAAATAATATTGAATGTCAGCTGTAATAGAAAAAGAAATATTTTTTGTGCTTGGCACTGTGCTGAAATCTTTTTAGTCATCACATCTTATCTTTTCTTTATGCCCCCCCACACCCTTCTGGAACATTTACATGGGCACATCTGACAGGATCTGGGGTGAATCTTGGGTTCTAGGCCTGGAGTCCTTGGAAGAATTCATTTGGAAGACAGTGACAGCTGAGGATCAGGATGGCATGTTGGGAGTTTTGGCTGCCCAAAGGAAGCACTCTAAACAAGTGGTGGAAGACCTTAAACAGAATGTACTCCTCACCACAATTTTCATGTGAGTAGGGGAAACGCTCACATGAAACACTCACCCCCCTGGAGGGTGAGTCTTGTCCCTATAGGGCAGAAAGTAGCCTGGAATGAAGTTAGGCTGAAAAAGAATTTTGTGAATGTTGGAAAGTTAGCAATTAGACATTAAAGCTACATTGAAACGTGAGGTCTTTAAATATAAATTAAACAAAGGTAATTTTCAAACCTAAGTGTCTGATTTCCAGAAGTCACTGCAATAGATGCATGAGCTCACCAGGTGAGAGTGCCTCCTTGTGGCCCACAAGAAACTGAGCATAACTATTCAGTCCTGGGGACGTTCTTAGGACAAAATCACTCTTCTGATGCTCCAGGGAATCAGGTTCTCTCTTTTTAAAGCAGAAGGTTAACAATGATTACATCTAGGTGTGTGTATGGAGAGGGATAATAGGAGTATTTATTGTGCTGTTCTCTCAACTTTTCTGGATGATTGAAATACATCTTTCATAAAAAAAAGTTGAAAAAAATGGTCGTCAGAAAGTAAATAAAAGAACAGGTTTAATCAATAGAAAATAAAAGGACAGTACTTTAAATGGAATATATCTAGTCTTATCTGATCAACTTTATGTTCATCAATTGTCAGTTATTGCAGAAGTGATCAGTCAAAAAGAATCCTTTTCAAGAATTAGGCTTTAGTCTTTTAAAAACATGGGCAGATAGGGCCATCTGGTGTGCAACTGTATAACCACACAGTGAATTTTTTTTTTTTTTTTTAGGCTCCTCACCAGTAATCCCTGTGATTGAGCTGACTTTACAAAAACAAACCATTCTTTAGTCTTCTTAGAGGTACATGTTGAAGACCTTGGCTCATTCCCAAACGTAAGGCTCCTCAAACCCATAATAATCTTACAAGTTAAACAGGGCTTGTCCTCTGACAGATCCTTATAAGACCAAAGTCAGTGCCACACAAGCTAAAGTCCAAGAGGTGCAGAAACTATGTGTAAATAGAGAAAGTCAGTAAAAAGAGAGCAGAAAATGTAGCCCATGAGCAGGGAGAGCAAGAGACCATGAATCCCACGAGAGAGGAAAAAAAAACAAAAACGGCCTGTCCATGCACTCCCTCAGACCCTGATAACATTCTACTTGAGCTCATGTGCACCCTGATCAAAAGCTTTTGAATGAGTCTCTGTTGCTTGCCGTCAAACAAGCATGACTAAAACTATCAGTTTGCGTGAACCCAAAAGGCATACATCCTAAAATCTGGCTGCCTACTCTCACAAGTCCCCAAATGCCTTCATGCCTTATTTCTTTAAACTGATAGAGGCTACCCACAAGGTGTAGGAAGAGAGAAATCAAATGAGGTCATTACAACCATTTGGGACCATTACTGGTGTCTGGGCCACACAGCCAGACTTCTGTCAGTTCATGTCTCTCACCTGTGGATGAACTAGAAATTGGAGAGGTAGGTGCTCTCAGACAATGCTAGAGAACTTGGCAATCAGAACCAGCAATGCCTGAGTCCCACCTTGTGAATCTCTGTCCAAAAATGGGCTCTTCAGTGCCTTAAATAAATCTCAGTGTTTGATTCATGAGTTAATAATTTTCTGACTTACAATCATTGCATATGGTGGTTCTCAACTAGGGGGAACATTGTCAAAATCTGGAGGCATTTTTGGTTGTTACAGTTGTGGGAAGGGAGATATACTGGCATCTAGTAGGTAGAGGCCAGAGATACTGCTATATGTCCTGCTATGCACAGGAATGTCCCCTACAACAAAGGGTTACCTAGCCCCAAATGTCACTAGTGCTGAGGTTGAAAAACCCTGGTGTCCATGGCAGGAAAAGCATAGCGAGAATTGTTAAAGTGGTGGACAGAGCAGAGGGTTGGCTCAAATGTTGAGAATTCTACCAAGGAGACCACTACCCAGTTTGGGGACGATATCATACTATAACATTACCTTTGTGCCAAGTCACAGGCGAGTGCCAGTAGAGGCCCTGGTGAGGGTAACCCAAGATAATCTAAGCAGTCAGTCCTTGAGAAACTGAGCAGAGGCAGAGATAATGAGGAGAGAAACTGAGGCTTATCGGTTTGACTCCATTTACCCCCCACCCCCACTCCCACCATTAGAGGACTTTGTGATCTAATTTCCTATTCATATCTACCAAAGGAATAAATTGGCTTGGGTGACAGGGGCAAGAGGTTAAATTGGGTGGAGCAGAAGAGCAGCAATTTAATGGTAGCTTATTTAAATGCACATGGATTTGGAAAGAGTGGTGTTTCAATAGGTCTGAGATGGGATAGCAGGCCTGTTATAATGAAAACATGCTTTCATTAAGTTCTTGGTTTTTCAAAGTAAACTGAGTCTCTCCCCTAAAGAGCATGCAGAACAAGAATCACAAAGAGTATCAGTTTCAGGACTTGAAGAAAACAAAAAGCAACACTGCCTTCCCCTCCCCACCTTTAAAATGTGTAGTCCTTTTGAAGGAGGCTTGCATTCTTCTGAGACATAGGCCAGGGAAATCACGGTCAGTAGATTTCCCTGTAACGCTGAGCTGTGGGATAAGTTCCAAGGAGGGAATGTTCTGGAAAACACCTTCGGCAAGGCCAAGTTGAAGGTATGCTTCCAGTTTTTGACACAGGACATTAGAGCATACTTGTAGGTGCTTCAAGAGGACTTAAGAGCACCCACTTTGTAAATTTGGGACTTTGTTTCAAACTAGATTGATTTATAGAGGGCTGAACCGAAGGACTCTCATTCATTCATTTACTGACTTCATTTAATGAAATTGTTGGTCTAGGCATTTTGTTAGTGATAGAAAATAGCATAAGATGTGGTGCTCTGTCAGGTTAGTTTGGCATATGCAGATAAATAAATATCTTTATTGATTTCAGAGGGAGAGAGAGCGATGGAAACATCAATGATGAGAGAGTCATTGATCCCCTACTGAGGATCAAACCGGCAACCTGGGCATGTGCCCTGAACATGAATTGAATCTCGATCTCCTGGATCATAAGTTGATGCTCAACCACTGAGCCACACCAGCCGGGCTAAATAAATAATTCTTAAACGTTAGCCCTTTATTATCAACAGAACCATGCTATGACTGTAAGAGACTTCTGCAAGACTGGCTACTCAGGTGAGTGAATTTGCATTTTTAACAGTCTCCAAGTTTTATAACATTGTGTTTACAGATACACATAAGTTTGTGAATCAGCCTGGATGATGGAAAGCTCTGGAAGCTTCCTGAGCAGGGACGTTCACTCTTTCTAACCTTCTAAAACAAGGACAGGCTAGAGTCCAGAATATCAGCATCGGGCCATCCTTCCTTTATACTCCACTGCCCAGGCTGGGTGGGCCTGAACTACATTTCCCAGGATGCCCACTTGCAAGAGCTCCTGCAGGATTGGTCAGAATGATACCGACGTGATTACAGGTCGCCCAGCAACGGGCGGAGTCCTGGGCCGTGACTGGATTTCCACGCCCCTTCTCTGTGGCAGGGATGACAACGAAGCTCAGCTCCGACTCCACTGTCACCGAGCCTCACCAGATTTTACTTCCAGCCGAGCGGCCGGGCCACCTCCTCGGCGCTTTCACCACCGTCCTTCTCAGGCCCCCGCCCCTTTTACGACGGCAGCAAAGTAAATCCCGGAAACTGGATTCCAGCTGCGGAATCGATTGAGCGGCTCGGGGAGGCGTCGTGCGCAGGCGCGAGCGTTTGGGTCGGGACGCGCGCGGCGCTCGGTTGAAGCGGGAGTGAGTGAGTTCCTGGGCGTGCGTCCCGGCCGCGGGCGGTTGACTGAGCGGGTGACCCAGCGCCGCCTCTGCCGCCATGGCAGCCCTGCGCTACGCCGGCCTGGACGACACGGACAGCGAGGACGAGCTGCCCCTGGGCTGGGAGCAGAGAACCACCAAGGACGGCTGGGTTTACTATGCCAAGTAAGAGGGCTGCAGGGGCGCCGCCGGGGGGCCGCCGGGCCTGGGACGCACCTGGAACCTGACG